TTGAATCTGTAGATTGCTTTTGGTAAGATTGCCATTTTTACTATGTTAATCCTACCTATCCATGAGCATGGGAGATCCTTCCATTTTCTGATATCTTCTTCGTTTTCTTTTTTTAGAGATTTAAAGTTCTTATCAAAAAGGTCTTTCACTTGTTTAGTTAGTGTTATCCCAAGGTATTTTATATATATATATTTGTCAGCCTGGGCCTCTTAATGGGTCCTAGGGTAGCAAGGGCTGTACAGTAAGGGTAAGACCTTGTTTCAAAAACCAAACAAGCAAGAGCATAAACACAGAGGAAATGTTGTCAGTGAAGCTAAATGCCTGCCTCTGTTTCCGTACCCACCTCACCCCTACGCCCGAGACAGGGTTTCTCTGTGTAGCCCTGCTTGTCCAGGAACTCAATCTGTAGAGCAGGCTGGCCTTGAACTCAGAGATCTGCCTGCCTCTGCCTCCTGGGTGCCGAAATTAAAGATGTGTGCCACCAAGACTGGCTTAATTTTGTTGTTGTTTGTTTTTTAGCTTCCTTGTTTTCTCTTTTTCATATATTTATTTATTATTTATTTGCAGGAGAGGTGGTATGGGTGTCACGGTGTGCATGTGAGGTCAATCTGTGTGTGGATGTCTTGTCAGGAGAGGTAGGTGGTATGGGTGTCACAGTGTGCATGTGGAGGTCAATCTGTGGAGGTCTTGGTTTGCTCCTTCCACCCAGGAATTGAACTCACTTGGTGGCAAGTGCCTTAACTCATTGACCCATCTGGCCCGACCTCAAACTCTCAATTCTCCTGCTGCAGACTGTCAGTTGCTAGGATTGCAAGCATTCAGTACTGTGCAAGCATTCAGCTTTATTGAATTTCTTTAGATTATGACACAGATTGGAAAAGAAGCTGAGCTGAGAATGTCGCTCAGTGGTAGAGCACTTGCCTAACACGCCTCTGCTGTAGATCTGACCCCCAGAATCTCACAAATACAGTTCTTTAAATAAGCAAATAAAACAGCCTGTATCTTAGCCATGCAGAAGATGGCCTGGGAAAAAGCAAGAGGGCAATAACGTTTACTTATTTGTTTTTGTTTGTGTGTTTGTCTTCGTATGGATGTGAACATGCAAGTATGGAGGTCACAGGACAACTTTCAAGCTCTCTGCCTGCTGCTGCCCTGTGTGCTACAGGCTAACTGGACTGAGAACATCCAGGCAATTCTTCTGTCTCCACATACTGCCTTGAGGGAATGCTGGGATTACAGGGGCATACCACGGAATCTAGTTTTGTGAGATTTAATGTATTTTTTTTATATTTTATTTTATTTTTATGTGCATTTGTGTTTTTGCCACAGGTGTCGGGGTCTCCTGAAACCGGAGTTACAGACGGGTGTGAGCTGCCATGTGGTTGCTGGGAATTGAACTCAGGTCCTCTGGAAGAAGAGTCAGCACTCTTAACCCCTGAGCCATCTCTCCAGCCCTATGTGGATCTGTGCTTTGCCCTGCCTGTAGGTCTGTGGGCTACATGTGTGCAGTGTCCATGGAGGGCAGAAGAGGGCACCAGAGCCTCTGGAACTAGAGTTAGAGATGTTGTGAACCACCCTGTGGGTCACTGGAACTGAACCCAGGTCCTCTGGAAGATCCGTCAACATTTAATACAGAGGCATCTCTCCAGCCCCTGCATCTGCCTTTTTAATGTGGGTCCTGGGCTTGAACTCAAACTCAGGTCGTCTAGTGTGAGGATAGTGCTTTTTCCAGCTGAGTCAGGAAATGGTGGCATCTGCCATTCATCTCAGGACTGCCTCTGCCTCCTGAGTACAGAGAGGCAGATGGATCTCTGTTGTACGATATTTTGTTTGTGTTCAGACAAATAAAGCTTGCCTGGAGATCAGAGGACAGAGCCAGCCACTAGTTAACCCTAAAGGACAGGCAGTGGTGGCACACACCTTTAATCCCAGCATTTGGGAGGTGGAAGTAAGTAGATCAGGAGTTCAAGGCCACCCTGGGCTACAGGAGTCTAAAAGAGAGACAGAGCTGGTGGTGTTGGCTCACACCTTTAATCCCAGCGGTAGAGAGGATCATGTCTTTGATCCCAGCACGTGGGAGGCTCACACCTTTAATCCCAGCACTAGGGAGGTGGACACAGGAATATAAGGTGGGGGGTTAGGAATTTAGCTGAGTGGTAGAGCGCTTGCCTAGCAAATGCAAGCCCTGGGTTCGGTCCTCAGCTCTGGGGGGAAAAAAAGGAATATAAGGTGGGTGGAGACAAGCTCTGTCCCCCATTTGGTCTGATCTACATAGTGAGTTCCAGGACTAAGTAGAGAGATCCTGTCTCAAAAAACAAACAAACAAAAAGACTTAACTCATTTTCTTTCTGTTTTGAGAGAGGGTCTGACTATGTGGCTGTGGCTAGCTTTTAAATTTACTATGTAAACCAGACTGGTATTGAGTTTAAAAGTAGGTGCCACCATACCTGGCAATTTATTTTTAGACCCATTTTCACTATGTAGCCCTAGCTGGCTATCTTAGCACATACCATGCAGTGCTATTATTTTATGTATGGTGTGCGTGTGTGTGTGTGTGTGTGTGTGTGTGTGTGTGTGTGTGTGTGTGCATGCTAGCACTTGGGTGCCATGGAGTCCAGATCTCCCTGGAACTGGAGTTACAGGTGGTTGTGAGCCACCCAATGTAGGTGCTGGGGATCAAACTGTGGTCCTCTGGTCCTCTGCAAGAACAAAAAGCAGTCTCAACTGCTCAGTCATCTCTCCAGCCCTGATTTAAGTACTTCTAAACTACTTCTCAGTGAGGAAACCCATCAGCAGCGCTGTGTGCTGAAACTGCCCATGAACTCACTGTGTCTGCCACCTCGCTGGACTCTGCTGTGAGCTGAAGTTCTGTTTTTGTCATTGTGTGTGTCCCCCCCCCCCACACACACTTGGCACATAGCCTCCAGAAGGTCACAGAAGTGGAATGAGCTGCTCTCTGAACCAAAACACCACCACTCTTAAAACTTCAAATAAAATACTAAACTTCCAATGTCAACATCATGTCCCTTCTGTCTTTTACAATGAGATAACATATTAGGGGGGAAAATTAGGCCTATGACAAAAAAAAGGTTAAAAAACTCACTTATCATTGCTGAGAACAGATATCAGTTTCTACTAGAAAAACGGTAAGAACTTCCAGACACCAGAGATGACTTCTCCCACTCTGCTCAGGCACTCTAGCGTTTTCATTTAGACACCCACTACCATGTTACAGCTCTATGATAGAGCGGCCCCAGGTTCAGTCCCAAGCATCACAAGCTAGGAGTGTTCCCGTGACAAGTAGAAGGCTCAGGGGAAGCCTTGGCCTCTCCCCTCAGCACGGCATGGTCAGACATGGTCAGAGCACAGGACCACACCCCTGCAATCCTAGCACCCTAGAGGTGGAAGAGGCAGCAGGGGGAGGCAGAACCCTGATCGGGGTCTTCCTTGGCTACAGAGTGAGTCAGAGGCCACTCAGAGCCTGAGCTACAGGAGAACCTAAGGGTTTGCTTATTTACTGAAACAACAACAAAATCCCTGCCCCTTTTCATCAGAGACATCAAAGTTATTTTCACAGTAAAGCAGATGAACACAATCTCACTGTGGGGGCATAGTGGAGGGGCAAGCGCCGTATTACTGAACTTGTATCCCCTATATTTTGGAAAACAATCCATGGGAAATAAAGCACAGTAGTCAATAGAGTGTTTAATTTGGAAATGCAAATATTTATCGATCCGATTTTCAATTTTGTGAACAGTGAAGGTCTCATGGGGGACAAAACAGTACCTAATTGAAAAAAAAAGGTGGGGGAGGGAGAATACAGAGCACATAGGAGGGCTTATTTTTCATACGTTGTATTTATTTACATGGACACTGGATTGCATCTAAGTAAGATGGTTTTCATAATTAAAGACATGTAGCCAGGCGTAGCGGCACATAGTGAATTTCGGGGCAGCCAGAGCTATCTAGTGGGACTCTGTAAAAAAGAGAACACTCGTGGGCATGTCCTAGGACATTTCTTACAATTTTTTCTGGCTCTTTCAGGAAAAGAAGGTGAGGTTCCGGATTGGGGACAGCTGATTAGCTTGCTCAGAGTAGTATCTTTAGGAACTGAACGCTTCTTCCTGTGGGTCCGCACTGCAAGGTCCCCTACATCCATTACAATTCCCAGCGGTTGAGCGAGCGGAGCGCAGAAAGCCTGAGGCTCAAAGCCCGAGCCCAGCTTTCCTAAGTCACTTTGTGACGGGTGATTTTGAGCACCGTATTTATTTTTCAGAGTTTCGGTTTCATTATTTGGGAAATGGGAACAATATATCTGCTTAGGAAGGTTGCTGAGAAGATGAACTGGGCCTGTGTGTGAAAAGCCTTTTTCAGCTGTAAATCGCTCCCCCAGATGTTAGTTATTATCGCCATTAAAGGACATGGAATCCGTTTCAATTGTACAGGAGCTTGCAAAAAAGCCTCCTTGACACTTTCCGCCGCAACTTGACCCGGAGCTTAATCGGGTTGTCAAGCGAAAGGGTTCTGGTGTCCCCGCAGCAGCCCGGGGCAGGGTCACCCACGCGGTCGGCGCGGTCACTGCCGCGTCCTCTCCGGATCCGCAGCTCCCCCACGATCCTCCCACCCGCGTCTCCGCAGGAGGAGCGCGATGTTCCTCGCCTTTGGGGTGGCGCGGGCCGGAGGGTGTGGGCCGGGGCGGAGCTGGGCCGGGTGGGGGGTGGGGTGAAGCGAGGGGCGTGGTTTGGCACGGAGGGCGTGGCCTGGGCCTCCGGGCGTTCCGGGAGGCCGATGCCCGAAGCTGGCAGAGCCCGGTGCACTCGGCCCGCAGCCTGCACGCACCGCGGTGCGGGCTGCACCCTTGGGTCCCCACGGCTCTAGAGCCGAACTCGCGTCCCTGAGTCTCAACAGGTCAAGGGAGGTGACGAGGACGCCCCAGCCGGGACTGGAGGACCCAGGAGCTGGAAGGTAAGCTGACCCCTGAGTGCCCCGGGCTGGGGGGCTGGGGGGTCCTCCTGGTCTCCGGGGCCGCAGTCGCGAACTTTTCGGCAGCCAGGCTGCCCCGCACGCTAACTCAAGGCCGGCTTTGCCACTTTCTGGGTGGGAGCCTTTCGGCAGAATGGGCGCAGGAGACAGGCGCGCGCCGCCCCTGTCTGCGGTTCCGCGGCAGGTAGCTTCGAGAAACCCAGGGGACGAGGACCTAGGAGGTCGCTCTTCCACCCTCGCTCCCTTAAGCCTCGCGTCCTGCGGGAAAACGTCCCGTTGTTGGAGCCTGGTCCCTGAGTTGCGTAACAGGAGTCCCAGAAGTTTCTTGAGAACAGCCAGGTTTTTCCTCCTCCGCTTCCGACCCTCCTTCCCCCAGCATCTGGCAGGAGATTAGTGGTACCTACCCATCCCCTCTAATTGTGATGGAGAGGAGGTGTGGGGCGGTGGTCAGCATCCTCCAGGCAGGGAAAGTTGGAGGCACTTCTGAGAACTGCTGTTCCGGACGGAGGGAGACGGCGTTCTGAGACCGAGGATTGGCCGGTTTCTTTGGACGCTGCTCCCCACCCCCCACTGTTTTCTCCTGTGTCGGGTCGGGTCCGCGGTGACTGAGCCTCTAGCCCTCGGCTAGCGAGTTAGAGGGGGACGGTTCGAGGGGGAGTACGAATCATACGCTTCCTGTGTGGAACCCTACTTCCATGAACGAAGCCCCGAGGGGCCTTCCAGCGTCTTGCGGTTTGGGTTTTCTTCACTAATACTGTTATGCAAATCGTCCTAAGACCCTTGGCTTTGGAGGTTGGGGCTGTGTCCGAATCTTCCGAGAACCAGACAGAGCTGGCGGAAAGCCCTGACTGCCGGCGTTCCATTTGCCTTGCTTTGTACTCTTTTGAAGGGTAGGGTGGGATAATTTTAATCCTGTTGGTGCGCCATGGGGGGTATGACCCGCCGCTGAGGAACTTGGCACATTGAAAACCTTCAGTGCGGAACCATGAACCGAGATGCAGACGCGCTGCTGCCTGGGACAGTTGCAGAGTGAGAATTCTGAGCTCTCTGCAATGGAGTCACTGAGGAGCAGTCCTAGAGCGGGCGGGCTCTGCGCCGGATTCAGGGCAAGGTCGTGCAGAATGCGTGGTTGGTGGGGGTGGGCGGCATCCCTCCCTCAGACCTAGGCAGTATCAGGCTTGTGCTCTTCGAAGGGGGCTTGCAAAGGGAAAAGACTCAAGCTCTTCCCTGCGGCTTACAAATACCTAGATATGGCCCTGCTTAAGTGTTTGCTTCCTCTGTCTAATGTATCTCCTTAGCTTGCCTTTCATCTTTAGTGGGAAGGATTCCGTGAGTGGGTATTCTAGAAATAGATTCACAAGAGACTGAAAATTCTCGGTGGCTCGCCTGCTTCATTTAAAGGTGATTTCTTGACTGTGTGGGGAAGATAAAAATGCATAAAAGGAAAAGGAAGAGTGGAAAGCTAACAATCCAGGGGAGAATGGGAGAGAAGATAAATTCTAATTAAAACTAGGGAATCGCATTTGAATTCAGTGTGTCCGGGGAGAACAGGAACATAGGAAAGGAAGGGTTGGAGATGAGACCGGTCAGAGTGAGACTTGGAGGAGACCAAGTTTCAGACAGGAGTGATTGTTTTTGTTTTTGAAATGTCCCAAGTTTGCTGACTTGGGGATGTGGGACTAGCAGGTTTGATCCTGGGCGTATCTTTGCTGTCTGCAGAAAGAACTGGACTTTGGGGCTAATATGTCTTATTCATTCAGTGCAGAAAGTGCATTCTATAGGGCCCTTGTCTTCGGTCATTTGCATAACTCTTCCACCTTGCAAAAAGACAGTTTTGATGAATCATGTTGTCTTCCCTTAGGATACAAAAAATCATCCAAAGGTTAGACAATATAGCAAAATAAAGTCCAGACTGTTTTAAGTATATGGCTTTCCTCACCGTATGCAGAGCAAGCTCCCCCCCCACCCCCAGAAGTCAGTGTTCCGTTATGGGGTAATCAGACGGTATCCGAACCGCTGTGTCTTCTGTTTCCTACTCGGTTTAACTGATTTTTGCAAAGAGCTGATTGAGCTAACAGGTGGTGGTGGCGGCGGTGATGTTCCTCCTGTTCTTTATCCTCTGCTTCCTTTTCTTCCTTCTAGTTTTCGTTTTGTTTTTGATTTTTCAAAGAATCTCACTGTGTAGCTTAGGTAGTTTTTGTTCTCCTGCCTCAGCATCTGCTGGGGATGCAAGCACGTGCCATGTGCCACTCACCTAGTCAGCATTCCTGATTTAAGATGAGTTAGAGGCTAAGAGCACTGGCTGCTCTTCCAGAGGACCCCGGTTCAATTCCCAGGACCATACGGCAGCCCAAAACTAGCTGCAACTCCAGTTCCAGGGCAATCAACACACTCACACAGGCATGTAAGCAAAAACACCAATGCACATAAAATAAAAACAAATAAATCCTAAAAAGATAGACACACTTATGAGTTGCATTTTTGTTAGACACCAATTTTTTGTTTGTTTTTTGTTTTTGTTTTTGTTTTTCCCAGACAGGGTTTCTCTGTGTCGTCCTGGCCATCCTGGAACGCCCTCTGTAGACCAGGCTGGAAACTCACAGAAATACTCCTGCCTCTGCCTCACAGGTGCTGGGATCAAAGGCCTGCACCACCACACCCAGCATACACCAATACATATTTATCCATATGTTTGGTCAGTGTCGGAAAAAACGAGAAGAAAATTGTCCCTTGTGTTTTGTTGGTTTTGTTTTGAGACAGGATCTTGATCTGCAGTCCAGGCTGACCTAGAACTTGGTACATAGCCCAGAGTGGTCTCAAACTTGTTAACATTGTATTGCCTCAGCGTCCCAAGAGTGGGATTATAAACATGAGCCACAATGTCTGCCTCTGTTGTTGATTGCAGACAAGTCTTTTTTTTTTTTTAAGAGTTTCTCTTTATTTTATATGTGTTCGTGTTTGCCTGCAAGTACCTTAGTGTACCAATGTGCATGTGGTACCCACAGAAGCCAGAAGATAGTGCCAGAGCTCCTGGGACTGGAGTTAAACTGTAAGCCCCCCATGTAGGGGCTTGGAACTGAACCTGGGCCGTGCAAGAGCAGCAAGTGCTCTTAACCATTGAGCCATCTCTCCAGTCCCATCAAGATAGATTCTTTTTTTTTTTTTTTTTTTTTTTTTGGTTTTTCGAGATAGGGTTTCTCTGCGTAGCTTTGCGCTTTTCCTGGAGCTCACTTGGTAGCCCAGGCTGGCCTCGAACTCACTGAGATCCGCCTGGCTCTGCCTCCTGAGTGCTGGGATTAAAGGCTTGCGCCACCACCGCCCGGATGACAGATTCTTACTGTGTAGCTGAAACCTGGAACTCAGGATCCTTCTGCCTCGCCTTTGGAAGTGCCAGGATTGTCGGCGTGCACCACCACACAGCCGGTTTAAAATCCGAGCTTCTGAAAAGACACTTGTTTTTATTATTTTTTGAAAAACAAGTGGAAAGAGTTCTTTGCTCAGCTCTTTCGTCAAATTTGCATAAACTCTCATGGAGTTAGTTGAATGTTAAAATCCAAGTCCTGAAATAGCCCTGTATTTTCACTTTTTAAAAGCCAAAGCTGAGCTGGAGAGATGGCTCAGTAGTTAAGAGCGCTTGCTCTTCTTCCAGAGGACCTGGGTTTAGTTCCCAATAGCCATATAACTCCAGCTGCAAGGTTTCTGATACCCCTCCAGGCCTCCACGGGCATCCCCAACACACACACACACACACACACACACACACACACACACACACACACACGTATATTGGTTCTTTGAGACAGGTTCCTTTGTATAACAGCTCTGGCTGTCTTGAAACTGGTTGTAGACCAGGCTGGCCTGGAACTCAGAGATCCACCTGCATCTGCCTCCTGAATGCTGGGATTAAAGGGGACTGAGCACTTGAATCTTGGATTGTATTAAAATTAATTATATAAATGTGACCTATTTATGAACATTCTACCACAGCATGGAAATAAATATGAAATGTGTGGTTCTTAATAGGTACAGATATTCTGTTAATTATTAACTCTCATTCCTGTGTGTGTGTGTGTGTGTGTGTGTGTGTGTGTGTGTTGCATATATGTGTGTGGGTGTGAGCACCTGTGTGTGTTCATCATCTAGAGGAGGATGTCAAGTGTCCTGTGCTTATTCCCTTGAGAACAGGGTCTAACACTGAGTCTGGAGCTTGGCTGGCACCCAACAAGATCCAGCAACCTCTTGTCTTTACCTCTCACAGTGCTAGGATTACAGGCCCGAGTGAGTCCATACTTGGCTTTTCACATGAGTGCTTGGGCTTTGAAGGCAGGTGAGGACCTTACCTGCTAAGCTGCATCTCCAACCTATTTATTTATTTATTTTTGAGATAGGGTTTTCTGCAGCTGGCCACGCACTGTGTATATTCCTGGGAACTGAACCATGGACCTGGTGTCTGCTAGGCAAACGCTCTACCAACTAACTGAGCTATGCCTGCAGCCTCGGCCCCTCCAGCCCCTTAACTTCTGGTGTTTACAGTGAGCTCTCGGGCAGAGTTGATACAAAGTGACAAGGCCATCCTGGCTGCTAATGAGTTCCTCTCTCCTGCCTCAGGACAGCTCTCCTTTAGTACTATTCTCCAGGGGAGAAAAGTCAGCTGACGCTCTTAAATTATCTGGCCCATTTTAAACATGACTAAGTGTTTCTTATGAGAATGACTTTTTCCTACTGAGTTTTGTGACAAGTGGAGCCTGAAGGAAATAACGTTACGAAATCTCTTGTTCGGTCCTGATACTTCTTCCGTGTGCCAGATCTGAGCATACACCGTGGTGAGCCTTGATCTGCAGAAGAGCAAGCAGGGACATTCTCTCTCCGACAGCACGTCTGTGTTGATATCCATGACATGCCATGCACACCTAATTGTAACTCGGAAGCTGGAGTTCAGTTTCCCTTTCACGATCAGGACACTGAGCTGAAGTTGAATGGCT